CATGAATGTTTGATTGATATCTATAAACAACAGACTGAACGGCTGACAAAGTACTGTCAACAAAGTTACTAGTTGCAGATACTGGTTTTAATTTTGTGTCAGACTTAATAATTCCAGTGCTAAGATGAACATGTGGTGGAGCCAAAGGTTTTATTAGATCACCAAGAATTTCTTTGTCATGCTGTAACACTTTAACTATTTCTTGCATTCCCGACATCAATACATCAACATCAATACGTAAATTRTCTGCTTCTTTTTCATTTTTATTAGAGTCCATACATTTTTCTTCCTATAATATAAAATATATTACAATAAGCTAGTTGATTAACTTTAAATAATAATACTGACAAATTCAGAAAGATTAGCTTTGAGATCTTCTAAATGCATTTCTTTTTGTCGCAACTGTGAGCATACAGTATCATAATCATTTTGAAGTTTTTCTACTTTATTTTGTAATGTTGTATTTTCCTTCAACAGATTTTCATATTGTTTTTCCTAAAATTTAATAGACATAAGAATCGTGTATAGTTCATAATTTTTTTATAGGTACTGTACTTCAGAATACGTTGATCGTTTAACAGCATTCACTAAGCCACTGCAAGTAGTAACCATGTCGTTTGATGCTAATGAAAGTTCACCTCGAAGTTTATTAAGATCTTGTTGAGTTGATGATTTCATATCGGAGAACATCCGTTTCACTTGGGCTACATCCTGCCAAAGACTCATCATTCTACCGTGTTCCAGTGAACAATACTCATTAAACATTTGTTCTTCTTCTTTCCATTCATCTTCTTTAGCATTCATTTCATCTCTCATTTTCTCCCAATCGGTAGTTAACTTTTGCAAATCTGTAGTCAACGTTTCATTGCTTGTTTGAGCGTCATCTAATTGTTCTCTGAGTGTAGAGTTTAATTCCATGAGTTTTTCAGATCTACAATTTTTAAAAGAATAATGTAGTCACTGTTAATTAAAAAAAAAGAGAAAATATATTTACTTGGACCGTTCTTGTTCTAAAGCATGTATTGCAGAATCTAAGTCCATCGATTGATAATCTCTAACTGAATCACGATAGCTCCTAACATTATCAATTGCTGGAATACTAGTTCTCATCTGCCTTTCCAATTCAGAACACCGTTCTCTATACTGCATTACCTAAAACACAAAAATCACAAATTTCATAATACCAATAGTGCTAATGCAGTAAAATCAAAAATACCAACCTTTGCTTGAAGCCTGCTCACAAGAACGGCCTGTCTCTGTTGCGCCAATTTATATGTATCCAATCGTCTGTCATACCGAGCAGCTTCTTCCCGCAGGCGCTCGTGCAAAGCCTGGTTCTCCCGAGCTAAATCCATTGGTTGTTCAGTTTTTTGTGAACGATTCGTTGGTAATCTCAAACTTGTTCGGCCTCCATCCAACCGAACTATACCTTCAGTGCCCAGTTTCGGAACGTTTCTGGATTTACCTGGTGTAGTGGTTTCTTTCTTGGAGAACTAGTTGGATATAAAAAAAAAAATCGTATAAAAAAAATAAATAGCTTCTACACATTTCGTTGCGCAATTGTGTTAAAAATACGAGGTACCTATATAATATAGGTATATCTACTAAAAATGTTTCATTCAAAAGTTTCACAACCGTCACCCTAAAAGTTTTGTAAATCTGATAAAAATAAAGTTTATA